GCGGGCATTGAGGGTGAAAGAATATGGGCGATCTCTCTCCTATGTTTCTCCCTCTCTCTGCCATTCCGCCTGCCATATCAATCAATCAATCCTTAAAAAAATGTTCCCATGAAACTTGAAAATTACCATGAAAAATAAAAAGTAAACTACGGACCACTAATCTAAACTGAATGTGAATATTTCATCTAAAATCTTTATTTGAAATCTTGCAGAGCAAGGCATTGTGCTCTGAGAAGAAATTACCCATACATGAAAGCAGTCATCTTTTCCCAGATCTCTGAGTGACTCCTAGGGCTAAGCCAAATCCAAGGACTTCCTCTGGGCCTGTCTCATTCAGAGACACCATCAGTACTGTGCAATGACATACATATCCTCACGTTCAAGGTAGGACAAAAATGAAAATTTGACACGCATACCAATAGTTGTTTTGTGGATTTGCTTCTGTTTCCTAAGGATTGTAGAGATGTTGAAAATATAAAATTTGATGAAGAGAGATGGAGAATGAAAAGAGAATGAGCAGAGAGGCCCTGCAAACTGCAGGATGCTCAGCCTGTGCAATGGCACAGCAAGCATTTCACGGAACATTGAATGCAAAGGTAATTTTATGTTAGTGCGAAATGTTCTGAAATACATGCACATTAAGATCTTTTCAAAAGTTTATGGCAATGGGATGGTGCTTTGGAGTAACTGGAAAAGCCACCTATGAGAGTGGCAACGGATACGGGTACTTGTTTGTGTCCCAACGGCTCTGCACTCAGGGCCTGGAAAGAACGGCGGAGGATGGCCAAAGTAGTTGGGCACCTGCCATTCCTGTGGGAGATCCAGAAGCTCCTGTCATACCACTGACCATGATGGTCACATGGGAGAGAGCCAGCAGATGGAAAACCTCCCACTCAGTTTTCATGTGTACATGCCTCCACTTCTCTCAGTATAACATTGACTTCCAAATAAATGAATCTTGTTTGAAGTACATGGGAAATGTAAATTACGGAATGTACTATGCCAACAGAATGTTTATTTTAATTAGTTTTTGCAAAAAACCTTTTGAAGGAACTTGGCATGTTGGATGCTCACATCAGAATTTATTGAAACTACGTATCCAGCTAAGTATGCACTATGACTAAAGTACTTGCCGTAAGGCGAACGGATCTGTTTTAAGTACTCGGGTGTCTCTATACCAGTGATGGCTCCTCAACAACGCAAAAGCAGCAGCAGTGGGGAAAGGACATGTAAAATGTAAGGAAGTGATCTGCAGAGTTGGAAAGTCTACTATGTCATGAGTGGGCTGAAAACTGTGGCAGGAGTTGATATGACAGACTTACCTATAAATAAATAAGTTCTTAAGGTCCAGAATGTGTCAGAAACAGGATTCCTTTCTTTTGGAGCAGGTCAGTCTTTCCCCTTAAGACTTCTGGTTGAATGAGAGCTATTTACAATGTGAAAGGTCATCTCTTTTACTCAACACTAGTTTAAATGTCATTCCCTTATAAACAACATCATCAAAACACATCAAGCCCAATGCTTGACCAAGTTACTGGGCATCGTTACCTAACCTAACTGACACCCAACACTAGCGTTGCATTCCCCGTAGTCTTTCCAAAAGCCCTCTGCAGTCTGTATTACTCTCCCTTGTTATTAACATTGAGGATTTGAAGCATACCTACCGGTGCTGAGGGCTCCGAAGTGTCTAAGATTTCACCGGAGAGGTGGTAATGACCAAGTCCTGACTGAGCATGTGCAAACACAGAAGCCAGTGTGAGGCTGAACATGCATAGAGAGTTTTTGTTTGTTTCTTAGAAAGGATGACTACCGGGGCTGCAGTCATGCTGTACCAGGTAAAGCCACTGCCTGCAGCACTTTCATCTTATAGGGCCATGAGTTTATGCCCTGGCTGCTCCACTTCCCATCCAGCTGCCTGCTCATCGCCTGAGAAAGCAGAAGATGGCATACTGCTTGGATTCCCGTCACTTGGGCCAGAATCGTCAAGGATGCTCCTGACTCCTGCCTTTGCCTGCTTTACTAAGCAGTGGGCCTTGCAGACATCTGGTAGTGAATGGTAGATGCAAGATTACTTTGCTCCCTCTCTCACTCTCACCCTGAATTTAAAAAGAACAATATGTTTTTAAAAGAAAAGAGGACTCTTAGAAGACAGAGATATTTAAAAAGCAGTACCGCATCCATCAATAAGGAATATCACACCTGCGACATATGCATGTTGGGATTCAGACATGGACCAGGGCTATGGACATTTACTGAGGACCACTATAATTGCAAGACTCTTCTTTTAAGCAGAAAAAAAAAAGGAATCAAGGATGACTGTGAGTTTTCTGTCAGTGGCCAAGAGTAAAGCAAAGCTGCCAAAGCAAATGGAGTTTGCACAATGGGCAGAGGGACTTCGAAGCAAAGGAAGATAACTTTGCTCAAGTCAGACTGAACAAATTACCTCTTGGTGATACAGGAAACATTTGCTCTGGAGGAGAATGCTCTAAGAAGGGAGAGTTAGATAACAAACAAAGGGCAAGTAAAACAGCTGTGATAGAATCTAACTTGTTTCTGAATCCTTGTTTCTTGATCCATACCACCAGAACACAGACAGTTAAATTCTGCTGGAATGAGTAAGGAATCACTAGCTGAATTAGCAAAGGTGCTCCAGATTTGCTGCGTTCCAGTACCCTGGGGCAGCCACATCAGCTACGCCTTGTCTAGCAAAGGAATTAAGTCTTCAGCGACAAGAAAATAGGCTAGTACACTCAATTTCCCCTGGCTCACTTTAGCCTTATTTGCCAACATATTTGTAGTGTCTTTTTATAGAAACAATAGAACAAAGTTAATGGAAAGAGAAAAAAAAGGGGGGCATGCTTTCTGGGGAAAAGAAAATTCAGCCACATAATCACAAGAGATGAAAGGTCTAAGATATTACAGTCAAATAATAATGAACAGCAAGGTGAAATGTACAGGAAGAATTTTACATTCTAGGCTAAAAAACAGTCCATAGACCAAGCAATGTAGATTGTAACGTCCCAACCGAACTCAGTCGTGGTCTTCCCAACAAACACAGGACACAATCACTGTGTTTGTCCTTGGCTTATGGGTAAGGAATCAGAGGCATGGCCAATGTCACCTCACCCCATTACACTTGTTAAGTGATGACCCGTGACTGCCTCCTGGAAATGAAGCAGCAGCACAACCATGTTAACCCTTGAATTTCCTGATTACCATTTGAGGTGGTGAAATGGACAGAGAAAACGGAAGAGGAGGTGTCAGCTGGATCTCTCCTAGGAGTGGTTTCCACTCTGTCACTTGATTCATTACTGAGTTTCAAAAGTCTCATTTCTGAAACACATCAGAGTCACCATGAGATGCTAAATAAGAAGTGACATAAGTTATCGAGGTTGTGCTCAATACAGTTGTTGCATTTATTTCTGTCTTCTTAAAAGACTATAATTTGAAGTCAAGTGTATTTGTGCATCCCATGTAATTATACTTAAGACTGCAAGCATGTGTAATTTGTACCTATCACGTGAAAACAATTTCAATAAAATATCTTTCTGTCTGTAAGATTACAAATGAGAAAAAGAAAGAAAAAAATAATATCTGATAGTATGCATATTAAGACTAGACATTTGACAATGCACTCTGACAATTTTAAAGTTGGAAAATACTTCTCAAAAATTTGGATTTACCTTCTTGGGAAATAATCCTATCATAAAATTGTAGAGATGACAGCAAATGAAATCTATGTGGCATTGCATCTGATATTTTTGATAAATTCATCTCTATATGTGCCTGAGGCAGAGAACAAGCATACCATCAGACAGGTATTTCAAATTTTAAACTAGAGTTAAAACTAAAGGTGAAGTATTCAATTTAAAAACCTAACTGGTAGGGTCCTAGAGCATTCTGGAATTTTCCTGCTTGGGTTGGATTCTGTATATGCATGAAGAAATATATGCAATTGCCATGTCTATTATAAATCAAAAGTAATAAAATGGTCTTGTTTTATGGGAAATGAGTTCCATGTGTGCTGTTTCTTTACAGCCTTTATATTTCTAGGTGGCCAGAAGCACCCCTTATTTCATGTCATGGAGCTGTCAAAAAGAAAGATCTGGAAAGAAGAACGACAGAATAAATGTGCATTGCATCTGGTATTTGTGTCATTATGCTAGAAAAGGTGCAACTGGGTTAACATCATTTCTGTGATAAAGAGATCAAAATGAGGTCCTTTTATAGCAGCCATATCTCAGACATCTTCCATAGAGAAAAGCTATTTCTCCCAGGACCCCTTAGGATAATATACAAAGCCTCCAAAAAGCCAGGTGCTATTTGGAATTGCAGAAAGAAAAACTGCAAACCTACTGAAAAAAATCAGAGAGTATTTAAAAATCAAGGGACAAAAAAGTGTCCTAATGATTAAAAAAGGAGCCAGCACTGTGGCCTGGCAGGTAAAGCTGCCATCCACAGTGCATCCCATGTGGGTGCTGGTTCCCAGCTGCTCCACTTTTAATCCAGCTGCCCTACTTGTGGCCTGGGAAAGCAGCGAACCATTCCCTGACTCCCTGGGCCACCTCACCCACAGGAGAAATACAAACCAAACATCTGGCTCTTGGCTCCAGGGGTTGTGGTCACTTGGCAATTAAACCAATTGATGGAATGTGTTTCTTTCTCTTCCTTTCCATCTCTCTCTCTCTCTCTCCCTGCCTCTGTACTTTTATATAAATAAAACTTTTAATAAATTATAAAAAACTTTTCCTGTTGTTTTGCATAGCATTGCTTAGCTTTACAGCTTAAAAGCTTATGACATTAGCACTGTTACAAACTTTATTTTTAAAAGATTTATTTATTTTTATTGCAATGTCAGATATACAGAAGTAGGAGAGAGGAAGATCTTCTGTCCGTTGATTCACTCCCCAAGTGGCTTCAATGACTAAGGCTGTGCCAATCCAAAGCTAAGAGCCTGGAGCATGTGGTGCATGTGGTGCACCATGTGGGTGCAGGGTCCCAAGGCCCCATGCCATCTTCCACTGCTTTCCCAGGCCACAAGCAGGGAGCTGGATGGAAATTGAAGCAGCAAGGATTAGAACTAGAACGCACATGGTATCATGGCGCGTGAAGGCAAGGACTTCAGTCATTAGGCTACCATGCCAGGCCTTCCATAAACATTTTAAAACCCATACTTCTGGGGCAGGCATAGTGGTGTGGCATGGTAATCCTCAGCTTGCAGCATGGGCATCCCATATGGGTATCAATTTTAGCCCCAGCTGTTCCACTTCCTCACCAGCTCTCTGCTAATACTCTGAGATAGCAGGGGTGACTGGTTCAAGTCCTTGGGCCCTGGTACTGACAAGGGAGAACTAGAAGAAGATCCTAGTTTCTGGCTTGCTTTCTTTCTTTCTTTCTTTCTTTCTTTCTTTCTTTCTTTCTTTCTTACTTTCTTTTTTTCTTCTTTCTTCTTTTGTTCTCTCTCCCCATCTCTTTCTGTTTCTCTCTTATAAACAAAAATGTAACAATGTAGACAGATGAAGAGAACAAAAGCCACAATAATTATCAAGTGATGCATGGCATAAGGAGATTTAAGTCTTGATATCAGAAAGCCCAAAGTGTGTTCAGAGTAGAGATTGTGTGTGTAGTCATGATTCAGTTGCTACTTTAGAATAGCCTGTTATAGTTACATAAAATCCTGAGTCACCACAAAGAAAATCCTATAATAATCATAAAAATATAAAAAGAAAGGATTCGAAGCACACTCCTAAAGGAATTCATGGAAATTGCACAATCCAATACTTAGCAAAGAGAAGGAGAAACATGAACACTGAGGCAACTAAATCAAGCAAATAATATATTTTTAAATAATTGAAAATCATTAATAAACCAGGAATTGTTCCACTGAAAATCAGAATGATAACATTTTAGCTAAACCAAGCAAAAACACAAAAAGACACAGTTACAAACAGAAATGACAGAAGAAACTAATTCCAGATGACACAAAGGCAGAAAAGGTCTTAAGAGATGATTGTGACCAATTATGTATCAATAAATTAAATAATCAGAAGGTACAAATTCTTAGAAGCATACAAGCTACCAACACAAAACCATGAAGAAAAATCCAAATCCTGAACAAATCAACAACAGGCAAGAAGATTCAAGCAGTAATAAAAAATAATAATAGTAATAAAATCATCAATGAAAAGCCCAGAACTCTATGCATTCATGGTTGAAATCTCCCAAATGTTTGAAGCACTAAATTTAATCACTTGTAAATTCTCCCACGAATTCCAGAAGGGAAAGCAATGTCCAGTTACTTTAGGAGACCAGTCCTACCCAGGCGACCAAGCAATAATGACATTACATTGCAGAAAAGGGAACTGTCAGGCTGTGTTTGTGAAAAAATGGATGCTTAAACTGTCCACTTGTAGCAAGTCATTTCCATTATCTCACAGGTTTCTACAAGTACTTTCTGGCTGGGTTAGTTGAAAACCCAACTGACAAGGGTATCCACCATCTACAATTGCACAGTACCTTTCCAAACGAGACAGCCACTGCTTGAAGAAGGGTAGTGAATAGCGCTTTGCCAGGATTATACTAATAACCCTAGGAAAACGTTTGGAAACATTGCTCTTTATCCCATGTCGGTAGTACCAAGATGTCTGTAATGAGTGAGGAACCCAATAAACTCAATCATCACTGCATAAAAAGTTGAAGAATAAGTCTAGCTGATGCATCAATTTGAAAAAAAAAACAGGTATGAGAATGTATTAGCATAGATATTAACTCAAGTTAGTGGAGGGAAGGGGGCTATTTCTATTAATTCTAAGACCTACTTATCATATCTTTATAATAAAACTCAGTCCTACTCCTCCCCTTCCCATCTGAAAGCAATCACTCACAACTTTGTTGAATTCACTCGAGTCACTCCCACAGCTTTGTCCTTCCTTGACCTTCACCCACAATTATAACCTCCCATTTCCGTGTTTGTTTCACCACGCACAGACATACACCCAACACCAAAGGCTCAACAGCATTCATTTGTCTGCTGTTGCTATGTGAATGGCAGACTTCTGAGGACAGGGGCCTTTTCCTACTGTGTGTTAGTGCTATTTGAATTAGAATTGATTAAATATATAAAATGGGTTATAATGGATGTATCATATGCATATGTCAAAAACATCAGAAGATCAGAAGAAATGGATAATATCTACAAATATATGATTTACAAGGACTAATGATGATGAGAAACAAAAGCTGTTCAGGCCAATTATAATTAATGAAGCAGAAGCAAGAATTAAAATAAATTTAAAAAAAAAAATCTCCTGCCAAAATAAAGTCAAGGACCCAATAGCTTCAGCTGAAACCGACATATACATATTTCATACATTATAATAGTGCAAGACTCCAATAAAGAGAAATATTAAAATTTCGGGAATAATTTTCACTAGAAAGTAGAGTTAGTAACTGATTAGGAATTTGGGGATTTTGAAATTCACTTTTAAATCTCCACAGTCATCGAGATGGTGAAACCTGCAGGCTGCTCCACCAACAGGTGCTGCTCCCCGAGACCCAAGTGGGCTCCTTGGCTTCCCGTCCCCAAGGACACTTCCCTTGTCACGTCCAGGAGAGTCACTGCTCTACGAGCAAAAACACCAAGCTGCCTCCACTGCTGCTTCCCTCGGCATGTGATAACCCTTCCTGCATGTTCTTCTGTGTTTGAGTATAGCTTTCTTTTTTTTCTGTAAACGACTGATTAGACAGAAAATGGGAATTATTATGCTCCTGTGATGGAAAGCTGTCCACGACATGCCATTAAAGAGGTTGCTGAACAGCAATTGTGTTCAACAGAGCACTCCCTGATACACAAAAATGATACTACACATTAGTAAGTAGCTGAAGCCCTGTCATCTACTGTCCACACTGGATCAAACACTCATGCTACATTTGACATGGGTTATTGTAATTTATCATAGAAACGGTTACCATATCACAAAGACATTATTGTAATACACAGGTTAATTTGGTTGTTTATATTTTGTTGTTTAAAACAAAGTCCTGTTACATAGTTACAATTAGAAAAAGATCCATACTACAGCAGAGAGAATTTTGGTGGAATAGCTAAGGCTGCAGGCTACAATATTTGCGGAAGAAGATGGAGGACCTGAATGAAGCTCCTGGTTTAGAACTGCCCATCTCTGGCCATTGTAGGTGCTTAGAGTGTGAATCAGCAGGTAGAATCTCTCTCTTTCTCTCTCTCCTCTCTCTCTTTCACTCTATAACTCTGAATTTCAAACAAACAGCAATAAAAAAATCTTTAAAGAATGCATGCTGCTTCAAAATTTCAGTTGCAGTTAGGACTACCAAAAAAGTGTTCAGAACAAACTGGATCACTGACAAGGATCCATCACATTATCTTACATGTTTAAAGTACTTAACTGCCAAATAAAACAAAGATTCTTTAGAAATAAACTAGAAAAAAACTTGTAAGTTCCAGAGAAGGAGTACCAAATATTTAAACACTGAAAGACATAATCTCTAAATATTAATTTATTTACACTATGCTTAGCTTAATAGTCACCTTAGTTTAATTACAAGCCAAAGCCAATAAAGTATTCTAACACAATGTGTAAATATAGGATAATTTGTATGCCTTAGGTGAAAGTTTAAGGCTTACTGTGATACTGACAGTATTATACATAAGATAGTGAACAGGTGTTTTGGCATAGGTGTTTGAAACAGCTGCAGCTTGGGTCAGCTGAGAAGCACAATGGAGTGCTGGTACAAGGTCTGGCCACTCTGATTCAGCTCCTGAAAATGGTCCTGTCAGGCAGCAGATCATGACCCAAATACTTAGGTTCCTCCCACCCATGTGGGAAATCCAGATGCAGTCCTGGCCTTTCCCAGATTCACACAATTAATGGGTGAGATAAACTCATCTGATTCTGTGGTCGCTCCCCACAACCCCTCTCCACCACGCCCAAGAGGATTCACTCTGCATGGAGAGATGCAATATCTTGGTTTAGAATAGAAATAAAGAAAAAAGAATATACTGATTAGCATTAAAAGACACATTAAGATGGACACCTACTGTAACAGGTGCTCATCATTGTGATGGAAAACGAATTGGTCAACTTGAACTCTTCATTATTTCCTAAATGGAACTTGGGCCTAAGGGAAAAGTTTCTGCTTAGCTCAGTCGGAATGGATGACCACTCAGTTACTGAAGTATTGATTTCTGTGTGTCTTCTCCCCAGCAGAAATTAACAGTGTGGCAAATAGACAAAGTACGATTTAGAAACTTTCTAAGGCTTAAATTTGAATCTTTGGCGACTCTGAGAACTAGGCAAAAGTTTTTTTATTATTATTATTCAATATTATTCTGCTGCATTTGAGTGACATGCCCCTCTTACAAATTTTAGATGATCAGAATCTCACATGGTAACCGTGCTTGGAATAGGGCTTGATGAGTCCAGTTTAGTATTCTGTTCAATATGGTCTACTCTTTCCCACATGGTGGAAATAATTGGGGAAGATGAACATTCAACACTATTCTTTTATTCTTTAAATTTAACACTTAGAAGAGAGTAATGGCATGCAGTCATTTGCTTTAATAACCCAGGACAATTCTGGTTGGATTTTAACATTGTTTTGATTTCCAATTAAGCCTTTGTTACACAGCTTGTACAATGACTTAAAGTGAGTTTAAAGAGCCTTATTTGTTGGTTTAGCTTTTACCCTCTTAAAATAAAAACCTAGTCTCATTCAAAAAAAAATCAATGAGTTGCTACTGAAAAAAGAAAGAGCTTATTAAACGCTCATTTGGACCTAGGTTGGAAGCAGAATTTACTTAATTTTCTAGTTAATTATTTTTTTTCATTTATACTACCCCTAGGATAATTTAGAAACAAGAGTTCAGTATGTTGTGTAATATTTGTCCCTAATAAGCAATAGATCTTGCACTGTCTCAATATAATAACTGCAGCTAAGAACAGTTTGCCCAGCCATTGCCCCTAGTGACTTGTGTCTGAATAGACTAATCCCAGGAGGCTGCGAGAGTGAGAAAAGGGACCAGATAGCATCACGGAGCCTCAGAGG